CCAGCTGTCCAGATCCCACCCCGGGTTAAGGTGCTCTCACCCTCCGCCCTCCTCGAAGAGTGTTGCCCTCAAGGTGCGTCCACACGGCCTTCCGTCGGGTCGGCTGGGTAGACTACAGGCCCAGTCGCCGCACCTAAGTTCTAGGTTCTGAATTCCCCGCAGAGCACGACGCGTCGGTTCCAGCCGGTTGGGCAGCCTGTAGCGACGGCAGGAGTTGCAGAGGGAGGCTCGGGCACTCTGCACGCGCCAGACTGTTGATATTTAATTTACAAAGGATTCTTGGAACCTTTGGTCGGGTGGTCTCTTTAGACGCAGCGCTCCTAGCGGGTCTCTCTCCCACCCCTCCTCTCCAGCTCATTAAAATGCTCCACACTCAAATCCGAAGATTGATCGCCGCAGAGGCCCCAAACCCGCGCCATCGACCCACACCCTGAGACCCCACTGCCTGGGTGAGGGCTGGGGGCGGGGGAGGGGCATTTGTCCTCCAAGAGCTCAGTGTCCCCGGAAAAGAAGGGGTGTGGGGGAGGCTCTTCGTGACTCCCAAAACCTGACTCTTTTCCCAATTCTTGCCTCCAGGGCTGCTGATGGCAGCAAAGGGTGGGGGTGGGAGTGGGGAGAGTGGGGGGCAGAAGTCCGGTTTTAGATGTGCCCTCACTTCCACCTTCTTGTCGCTAAAAGAAATGTCCAGGTTTTGTCAGAGACATGCAGAGTCGGGAACAGAGAGCAGTACTGGAGTCTGCAGAGGCCAGCTGTTGTGTGAGCGTGTGAGACTGTGGGGTGAGGAGGGCTGCGTGGGCTTTGGGATAGTGTGCCGGTAGATGCTGTGTTTGCTTGAAAGGCTGTGAAGATGCTGGCTGGGAAAGAGGAGGGAGAGAGATTCTGGGGCCTTAAATCTGCAGCCCACGGTGCTCAAAAGAGCAGACGTCTGTAAGCACCCTTTTCGTGCTGCCACACCCGCAAGCCATTGCCTCTAGCAGGCAAGTGTTGCATTTGGGTGCACTCAGGCAGGCTTCTTGGGAGCCCAGCTTGCTCAGTCCACAGCCCCGGGCCACAGCCCGAGGCAGCACCTGTCTGGTCAGGGGCCACAAGGGCTGGCTTAGTCACTAAAGACCCGGGCCACAGCCCCAGGCCGCACCTGTCTGGTCAGGGGCCACAAGGGCTGGCTTAGTCACTAAAGACCAGAGAGTGGGAATTGAGCTTTATTTAAGAAGCTCAGCAGGGACAGTGGCTATATGAGGAGCAGACAGTCACTACCCTGCGGCGCCCTGCTTGGTCTTGGTTCTCTTCCTGGGGAGGGACTGGTGGGGGTGAAGAGTCCAGAGATTGTGTCTGTTCAGATCCAGGGGGAGAAAAATGGCAGGGAGGGTGAGGTGCTCTGCTAACACTATCAATTATGCATCGTGTTGAACGTAGCTTCGGGGAGGAGGAGGCTAGTAGGGGGAGGGTGCGGGAAGGAAGCGCCCGCGAGAGCCGGCTGCGCGCCACTCCGCTCGCGGTCTGCCCGCGCCACCACCCGCGTTGCAAAAAGAGTTTGAAAGCAAAGACACGCCCCACCCCCGTTGTGCGCCTTTCTTTCCCCCAAATTCCTCAAAGATGGTTTGTCTCACGTGTTGCGGGGTGTAAAAGCAGCTCGCATTCAATTAGCAGCGAAGTTCGCGGGCGGGCCTGGAGGGACCCGCGCTGGAGGGTGAGTGAACGCCAGTGCGTGTGTGTGCGGGAGAGGGAGATGGTGAGTGTCCCGTGTGAGGCTGTGCCTGTGGAAATACGAGAGTAGCGAGAGCTGAACACATCGACGCGATTATCACATGATGATAATTCTATGGTGTGAAGATTGACCGTGGACTGTGAGGGTCTGTGTATGGTGAATGTGTTTGAACGTGAGGGCTTGGGGCACGGTGTAGTGAGCGGTAGCAACAGTTCAGCAGATGTGTAGATGTGTGTGTGGTGGGGTGGGGGTAATGGGAGGGCGATGGGTGTGGGGGCGCCCCTTGTGACCAACCTGTTTTGGCCACCGGGGGAGTCTCTATGGCTTTAACAAATGTAGCTGATGCAGGAGGTGGGAGAGGCTGTGCGCGTCCCTGCCGAGCCCGGGAGCGCGCGAGGACTCTTTTCCATCTGCAGCAGGCGGGAAGTGAGAGAAAGAGACGCAAAAGGGAAAAGCTAAAGTGGGACCCCTGGGCCGACGGAGTCAAAGTTACCTGTCTCCTTTGTCCCGCCCTCACCTTTCCCACAGCCTTTGCAACAGATGTGGGAATCGCCCTTGGGCTGTCGTGCGGGCTTGGAGACTTCCATTCTGGAGAAGAGCTTGCAGCCCGAGGGCAGCGCACGGGGAGTCAGACCGCAGCCGGTAAGCCTTGAGCACTACCCCACCACCTCCATCCCGAGGAGGATGCAAGACCCCTGCGGCACCTTGACCCCAGACTAGGGAGAGGAGGGGAGGAGGCCTCCCCCTGGAGCAAAGGCGGAGTGTGTTTGTTGGGGGGTGGTGTGTGGAACCGGAATTCCCAAAGGCCGTGTGTGGGAGTGGCTCTGACCAACCCGTCTGAACCCTAAGTGGGAGCCGGGAGTCTGTGTAGGTGCGTGTGTGGGGGGGCTGCGGATGAGAGGGTTTTGCTGGGGGTGGGGGAGGGGGGTCCAGCGCGATGGAACTGGTGGAAAGCCGCAGAACCTCGTATCTTCTGCCTCCTTAGCTAGGGGACAGGTGGACTGGACTAGGGGGTTGGGGACCCCTTCTCCCCTTCAGACATAAGGTTGAAAGAGAAGCCCTGGTCCCTCACTCATGGGTGCCTGGACAGAGCCGGCAGCTTTAGTTGAATGGGAGAGGGGCTTCCTGGGGTCCCACAGGTCTTACCCTCCCACCACCCCCAAGTTCTTGCACTGCTGATCCACTTGGGTTTCAGTCTCAGTGGAAGGTTATGTGCTCATACAAGTGTGCACCTGTATCCTGTGTGCACGAGGGCTGGTTAGTGTGAGGACTTGTGTCCTCACAATGAACAGAAAAGTGCTTTGCCTCGTGGTGGAAAACATGTACACATGCCTGGATACAGCCTGCGAGAACAATGAGGTCCCTAGAGCATACTGTGTTCATATCTGGGTGCCTGTATATATGTGTGTGTGTCGACGAAATGTGTTATGAACCTCGAACCCCCCTGCAGGAGTTGGTGTTCTGATGGCAGCACCAGAGTGTGTGTTTGTATTGTTGTGCCCTTGTATGGGTGTGGGTGTGAGTGCTGTGCGTGGGACAAAGAGTTCGAGGGAGGGCAGCCTGTCAGGAACAAAATTACCCTCTCTCTGCATCCCTTTCAGGGGGTTAAACAAAGCTTAGAAACCCACATGGGTCAGCACAGAACCCAGGGCACATCAGTGAGTGGTGGAGCCGTGGAGGGGCCAGCACTAGTGTAGGAAAAAAAGAAGGAGGTACAAATCCTCTGGAAAAAGAAGTCAGGGTCCCCGAGAGGTGCAGAAATTGAACCCGGAGGCTTTTACTGAGCCCACTCATGCTCAAAAAAAAATTCTCCTGGGCACCCGAGGACAAGGTTACCAGAGCCCCGGGGCCTGCTTTGTACAGATTTTCCGAGGCAGTCTTTGATGGGGAGGGGGGAAGATGGGGTTCGACGAGTCACCTTCTCCCCTTCCCCGGCTTCCATCTGCAGGATCCGCAATGGTGCCCCTGCTGCTGATGTGGCTGGCCTGGACGCTGCTGGGAGTGGCGGGAGCGTGCCCAGAGCCTTGCAGCTGTGTGGACAAGTATGCGCACCAGTTCGCGGACTGTGCCTACAAGGAGCTAAAAGAGGTGCCGGAAGGATTGCCGGCCAACGTGACCACGCTCAGTCTGTCGGCCAACAAGATCACGGTGCTTCGGCGCGGTGCTTTTGCTGACGTTACGCAGGTCACGTCGCTGTGGTTGGCGCACAATGAGGTGCGCGCGGTGGAGCCTGGCGCTCTGGCCGCGTTGAGTCAGCTCAAAAACCTCGACCTGAGCCACAACCTCATATCCAGCTTCCCTTGGAGTGACCTGCGTAACCTGAGCGCACTGCAGCTGCTCAAAATGAACCACAACCGCTTAAGCTCGCTGCCGCGGGACGCTCTGGGCGCGCTGCCGGATCTGCGCTCCTTGCGCATCAACAACAACAGGTTGCGTACATTGGCTCCCGGGACTTTCGATGCTCTAAGCGCACTGTCCCATCTGCAGCTCTATCACAACCCCTTCCACTGTAGCTGCAGCCTTGTGTGGCTGCAGGCCTGGGCTGCCAGTACTCGGGTCTCGTTACCGGAGCCCGACTCCATTGCGTGCGCCTCGCCTCCAGAGCTGCAAGGGGTGCCAATCCACCGCCTGCCGGCCCTGTCCTGCGCACCGCCCACCGTGCGTTTGAGTACTGAGCCATCGCCGGAGGAGCCAGGCAGCCCCCTGCGTGCAGGTCAGACGCTCGTACTATACTGCATGGCAGAAGGACACCCCACGCCCCGCTTGCAATGGCAACTTCAGATCCCGGGTGGCACTATAGTGTTAGAGCCGCCGGTCCTCAGTGAAGAGAGCGACAGGGGTGTGGCTGACGAGGGGGAGGAGGATGCAGATGAGGACGGGCCAACACAGACTGAGGCCCCAACTCTGTCTCCAGCACCCGCCTGGCCCGCGCCTCCCGCATCACCGCGCTTCCTGGCCCTCACAAACGGCTCCTTGTTGGTACCGATCCTGGGCACCAAGGAGGCAGGCGTTTACACATGCCGTGCCCACAATGAGCTAGGCTCCAACTCCACTTCAGTTCGGGTGACAGTGGCGGCTGCCAGTCCCCCGAAGCACTCTCCTGGCTCTGGGGGAAAACCCGATGGACAGACCCCTTCCTCTGAGCGCAAGTTCACCAAAGGCAGGGGGAACAGCGTTTTACCCTCCAAGACCGAGAGCAAAATCAAAGGCCAAGGGCTGCCCCGTGTCAGCGTCCTCGAGGAGACCGAGGTGGAGCCAGAGGAGCAGCATGGTGAAGGAATTGAGGAAGACCCCCCTGCGGACGTGGAGGTGGAGCAGCGCTGCGGCCACGGGGATCCCTCGCGGTACGTGTCCAACCACGCCTTCAACCAGAGTGCGGAGCTCAAGCCTCACGTCTTTGAGTTGGGTGTCATTGCGCTGGACGTGGCGGAGCGCGAGGCGCGGGTACAACTAATGCCGCTAGCTGCCCGCTGGGGCTCTGTACCCGGCAGCGGCGGAGAAGCCGGGCGTCCGGGGCGGCGTCCCGTGCGCCTGCTGTATCTGTGCCCCGCGGGGGGCGGCGCAGCCGTGCAGTGGTCACGCGTGGAGGAGGGCGTCAACGCATACTGGTTCCGCGGTCTGCAGCCTGGCACCAACTACTCCGTGTGTCTGGCGCTGGCTGGCGAGGGCTGCCACGTGCAAGTGGTGTTCGCCACTAAGAAGGAGTTGCCGTCTCTGCTGGTCATCGTGGCGGTGAGCGTTTTTCTCTTGGTGCTGGCCACCGTGCCCCTGTTGGGCGCTGCCTGCTGCCATCTGCTGGCCAAGCACCCGGGCAAGCCCTACCGTCTAATCCTGCGGCCTCAGGCCCCCGACCCCATGGAGAAGCGCATGGCCGCAGACTTCGACCCACGTGCCTCCTACCTCGAGTCGGAGAAAAGCTACCGGGTGGGCGGTGAGACAGGCGAGGAGCCAGAGGAGCCCCCCGGGGAGGGCCTTGATGAAGACGTGGAGCAGGGGGACCCAGGTGGGGACCTGCAGAGGGAGGAGAGCCTGGCAGCCTGCTCTCTGGTAGAGTCCCAGTCCAAGGCCAACCAGGAGGAGTTCGAGGCCGGCTCCGAATACAGCGATCGGCTGCCTCTGGGGGCCGAAGCGGTCAACCTCGCCCAGGAGATTAATGGCAACTACAGGCAGACAGCCGGCTGAGCCCTCTTTCCACCGGGTCGGCCCTCCCACCCCAGGTTTTGGGTCCCTGGGAGCTGAAGCCTAGGGCTGGCAAGGTTTAGGACGCCCCTCCCACTCCCGCTTCTTCCCTCATACCACCCCAGCTGAGCACTGGACGCTGCTAGTGCGAAGTGGGCCGATTTTACCAGTTCTCCAGCTGCTCGCCACTCTTTGTCCTTGTGAATTGAAGTTCCCTCCCTGTAAAGCACCGTTCTTTGCTCCTCCCTCCCTATAGATAGGTCAGGCGAAACCCACGATCTCCACTCCCCTCACAATGGTTATCTGCAAAATTCACCCCACAGCCCAATGCACTGGCCCAGGAACCAGAGGAAATGCGAGAAGATGCTAGAAACATGGTAACTGTGGCTCCAGGGTCAGGTTCAGATCTCTGGCAGATGTCCCTAGTTTGGAGTGCTGTGGGGGTCCCATCCTTTTTCGGTTGCACGTTCCAGAAACCAGGATTCGGTGGCAACTCCCTAGTTTTTAGTTTTAAGGTTCCCTCCCGGCAGGGGACCTAACCTTTTTGTCTCCCTACCACCACTCTGTTCTGACCAGCTGGAGCCTAGCAGTGTGCCTGAGGCTCTTTCGGCTCTGCACTCTGATTTTCATATTTTCGTTGTTTCCAAAGACAGAAACACTCCAGGTCTGGTGCTAACATTCCCTTTCTGACCTCTGGGAAAATGGGGTGGGGTGAGAGTTCAGGGGAGAGGGAATCCGTTTTCTCTCGCCCTCTCTCCTAACTTGAAGCATGGGGGAACCCCGGGCCCTTTTTAAGCGCAGGTGCGGGCTTGGCCCGAGGCCAATTTCGTTATGGGTGAGTTGAGGTTTCCAGAGATCGGTGCACTCGACCGCTCCGTTTTCACTACTGCTCCTCACGCAGACCCCAGTTCCAGCAGTGCCCTAGGCATAGGAAGCCAACCGTGCACTCCCGGGCCGGGTCTCTTGGGAGGGTTTGCGCCCTGTTTCGCACAAAGCCTGCGCGCGAGGGTGCTGGCGGGATCCGCTGGAAGAACAACCCTCGGTGCTCGCGTCTCACCGCCCTGCCTCCTCCTTCTGCCGGAATAGTAATTACCGGGTGCGTGATCCTAGACCGCGCGCTTTGTAGGAGAAAAGTCTGTGTCCTGTAAAGTGTTG